CTGATATGAGTGCCTATTTTATAAAAAATATAATTTTTTTAAAAAATTATATTTTATTTTTAATAGAGATCAAACTCACATGTCGCGTGTTATTATCTAGTAAATTTTATTTGCTAAATAGATGAAATTCTCGTAATTACGTCATATGTCATCATCTGGTAAGTTTTGTTTGCATTGTTTGCATAGACGAAACTTACAAAATTGTATTATGTGTTATTTTTGATCAATTTATGAAATTAATTTAATAAAAAATATATTTTAATATTTAATTAAAATTTATTAAAAAATAAAAAATTATAATATTTAATTTAAAAATAAAAAATAAAATTTATATAATTTTTAATTAACTTAATTAATAACTAAAAATATATTAAAAATATATTTAAAAAATGCATATCAAGATACACCTTATAATACTAAAGAGAAGATGTGTTGACAAAATTAAAAAGTGAGTTACAATTTTTTTCTTTTTTTCAAATTAGTTTAGTAAGTTGAGTTTGGAATGACAAAATATTAATAATTTTATATAATAAATATGTATTTTTATAATTTTTTTATTTATAGATATTTAAACTAAGACTAATAAAATTTTAATGCCATATTTTTAAAAAAATATTTTTAATATATTTTTTGTTATTAATTGAGTTAATTAAAAATTATATAAATTTTATTTTTTCTTAAATTAAATTATAATTTTTTATATTTTAATATATTTTAATTAAATATTAAAATTTTTCTTTTTTTTAAACCAGTTTTATAAATTGATCCAAACATAACACATAGTAAAATTTTATGAGTTTCATCTTTGCAGCAGATAAAACTTAACAAATGATAACACGTGGGAGCATCTTTGCAACCACGAAACTCATCCAATAATGATATGTGCCGCAATTTGATAGTTTTGTATATGTTAATGACAAAATATGATTTAAAAATAAAATTGTGTTTCATCGAAATATTAGACCAGATGACACGAGGTCATACACGGGTCAAAATAAACCTAATTACTATAGTACGGGTAAGCAACTAGGGTCGTTTCTCAAAGAATCACAATGGCAAATTAATCTATTTAGAGAGTGTGTAAGACGGGTGGGGTTTGTTTATAAAGGAAACAAAAACGCACTTAATTATAATTAGAATGAAGAGTGAACAGAAATTGAAATTCCAATTCAAGAATTAAGAAGAAAAATGACTACTTTATCACCGGATTTTTAAGAGAGTACATCAACAAACAATTCGGTAATTAACAATGAATCCGAATGAAACCTCAATTCGAACTCAGCATTCACATGAAGACCTCCATGCATTCGATTAGCACATAATTAATTAAAATTCAGAAAACTCTAGAACCTAATTGAATTGTGCCAATTTAATTTACCAATGCCGCCATTTTTTTGAGTTATTCAGTTAAACCAATGATTCGTTATTGGAGTAGATAGCAACAACCATCTCATCCGGGAAAAGCCATCTTTTTCTCAACAATGTCTTTGTCATTTGATCCAATAGCGTTCCGTTAGATAGGAACAGATTTGATAAATATTGATAACTCTCAGATAGAGTATTAGAACAGAAAAATCCATTAGATAATGAACTATTGGTTCTAAGCCATCTCTGGCAATGAATCAACAATTCAAAATGCTTTTCTTGCGTATTCTTGAGAAACCAGCGTTTATATATAGATGTAGGAAGATCTGTTTGGGAAGTAAGAAGCCCCCTTGACATCTCTTCATCTGCAAAGAATTCTCGATGTGAAAACACAGAGACAAAAGGCTGATCTTTGAATAGGAAAAAGAGATTCGATACTGGATTATTCATAGCATTACTATACCTTCCCTATTCATTGCAGGTTGGTTATTTGTCAGCACGGGTTTAGCTTACGATTTATTTGGAAGCCCCCGCCCAAACGAGTATTTTACAGAGAGTCGAAAAGGAATTCCATTAATAACTGGCCGTTTTGATCCTTTGGACCAACTCGATGAATTTAGTAGATCTTTTTAGGAGGCTCCAATGACCATAGATAGGACCTATCCAATTTTTACAGTACGATGGTTGGCTGTTCACGGACTTGCGGTACCCACCGTTTCTTTTTTGGGATCAATATCAGCAATGCAGTTCATCCAACGATAAACCTAATTCGAATTATAGAGCTACGACACAATCAAACCCAAATGAACAAAATGTTGAATTGAATCGCACCAGTCTCTACTGGGGGTTATTACTCATTTTTGTACTTGCTGTTTTATTTTCAAATTATTTCTTCAATTAATATAAGAAAAGGGAATAGTAAATTATATATATATATATTCAGAATTCTCTTATCTCGTTCGGAAGGATATCATTTCATAATTATCTATGACTGTTTATGTCTCTAGCATGACTGACTACTTGATCAAATGTGGAGGAAAGTGGGATAAATGGCCGATACTACTGGAAGGATTCCTCTTTGGATAATAGGTACTGTAACTGGTATTCCTGTGATTGGTTTAATTGGTATTTTCTTTTATGGTTCATATTCCGGATTGGGCTCATCCCTGTAGGAATCGTATTATTTGAGTCTTCGAAATGAAAGCGTAAGAACTCAACAGGACCCCCTCAAATTCGTCAAAGAAAGAGTGGATCCCTGTTGAGTTTTTAATAATCATAATATTTTTTAATAATTTTTTTTATTCGTATAAATGAATGAATAGATAACTTTTTCTGATGTTTCAAAAAACTCCATTTCCCCTTTTTTGATGTTTTTGAAAAATGAACTTCATTCATTTTTTCAAAATATCCCTTTTCCTGGATAATATTTGTCCATCCATACTTTTTTTTTCGTAGTTTTCAAACCTGAAAATCTAATTCATGTTCCTTAAAACTCAATTACATACATCAATCGAATAATACGTAATCAACCACATGCATAATCATCAATCCAAACGAATAACTTCAATTCGTAAATATAATTAGCAAAAGGGAGAGAATAAAGAATAGATGAAACCCGAAATTGTTATTGAATTTATGGCAATGTGCGATCAATCGATACTCAATAGTGTCACGTCTCTTTTAATCCTTGAATCAAATGGGAATCTAAGCCTCCATGGATGGAGGGAAAAAAATTCATGAAAGGGAAAAAAACGAAAACAGAGAGAAGAGAGAGGAAGAAGAAAGGAGAGGAGTAAAAAAAAAAAAAACTTAAAATTCAAAATTCAAAATTTCTGTTTGTCACTTTGTTCCTTTTTTTCGACTATGAAAACGGCCTCTTTTTGGTTCGTGGCCTGAAGGACAATTGTAGCCTTGGATGTTAGCTTTAAAAAGCCACTGGAATGGGCTTAATCGGACATCTGTGGACTGAGATATGGCCCAAATACTGTACCTTGCTCAGGATCCGCGACTGCAGCGTTCTGACTTTTTCCAGGCCCAGTTTCAGCTTCTTATCATCGGAATTGGTTTCTGACCTCTTCATAGGAATTGTGAAACTTTCTCTTAGCTTTCCTACAAATCAAGAATCACAATTAAAGGAGTTCTACAACTCAAGATATGATCCAAAAACTAAAATAGTATCAGAATTTACCAAATACTGGAAAAATTAAATAAAGCCCAAATAAAATCCAAACATCATAAAATGATCCAATTCAACCAATTAGGCACAAAAGAGGATTAATGAGCTAGGAATTAGAGGAAATAATGTTATAAAAATTCAATTGATCAAATTCTCCCACACTTAGCTCTTGCATGTCCTCATGTAAGACACAATCAAGCAAATAAAAACATGTAACCTAAAAAATCGTAGAATAATCAAAACAAATAAACAAATTCTCCAATGAATCCTTAGAAGAGCTGAACTAGGGACACAAGATCAAATAAAGCATCAAGAGTTCTACAACAATCAAACATCCAACTCCCAACCTCTCAAAAATGCAAGCCAAGCAATATCATTCAAAGTGTATAGATCAAGCATGAAAGATCTCACAAGATGGTGTATACAACTCAACTCTCAAGTGTATGGTTCAAAGTGTTTCACTCAAGTCACCTCAAAAGACAATGCATTACCATAAGCTTGTTAATCTTCTACTTCTCCACTACTTACAATCATATGCAAACACAAATCAAGAGGACTTTATTCAATGGTTGTAATGGGGCTAAAGTAAGGGTAGGGAAATATGAGGATATGACAAGATACAACCAAAGAGAATAGAAATAACATTGGTCCTTAGACAAATCAAGCCATAACATACATTATTCTCCTTGGACTTCCTTTTTCCTTCATCAAAATTTCCCATTTTCTTTGTAATAATTTTATTTATTTATTTATTATTATTTTTCTTCTTTTTATTTCTTTTTCTTCATTTTTTTTTCTTCTTGCATTCTTTCCGAACCTCCACACTTGAAATGCAATAACATTAATGAAACCAATGCACTCCCTATTCCCTAAGGTTAGGTATAACATGGTTTTCCACTTAGAGCTTATAATGTGCTAGAAGCCAAAGAATGGTCCATAAGGCTCAAAGGGGCTAAACAAAGGGCAAAATGCAAGGTAAGCTATATGGCCAAGTGGGTAAAAATTTGAAAGAAATACCTCTATCATGTTCATAATTGCATATGAAAATTGTAGACTCAAAGAAGAATCAAAACAAGTTCTAAAATGACAAAATCTAAGAGGGAAAACACACAAGAAAGAAAAGAATGGCATGAATTCCAACCATCCAAAAATAAGGCTCAAAAGCTCACAAAGGTAAAGTCTAATATACTCAATCATACAAATCAAAATCAATCACCCAATTCACATATATCAAGAGGAAGAAGTAATAATAAAATCATGTAGGAACTCTATCCTCCTTAATAACTAATGCCTTAACTCAACAACTTCTAATTCAACAAAGGAAAATAAAACAAAACAAAAACAATGCTAAATAATAAAGTTACTCTCTCCCCCACACTTCAACTTTACATTGTCCTCAATGTAATGTATAATGGAAATATAAAATATAGTAAAGAAAAGACAGAGGGGAACTCCCTAATCAAGCATAAGTGGCCGCTAGCAAGCGGACCTCCTCAATATTCTCCAAGGGTGTGTCTTCATGAAAAGGCTTCAAGCGGTGGCCATTCACTATGAATGCCTTATCTGTTCTAGGCTCCAAAATCTGTATAGCACCATATGGAAAAATCTTAGTTACTATATAGGGGCCAAGCCACCTAGAACGAAGCTTACCTGAAAAGAGCTTGAGGCGAGAATTGTAGAGAAGCACTTTCTGGCCTATGGAGAATTCCTTTCGCAGCAACATCTTATCATGAATGAGTTTTGTCTTTTCTTTGTACATGCGGGAGTTCTCATAGGCTTCCAACCGAATCTCCTCTAACTCCTGAAGTTGGAACTTCCTGTGAAGTCTGGACTGGCTCATATCAAAGTTACAGTTCTTAACTGCCCAATATGCTTTGTGCTCAATTTCCACCGGAAGGTGGCATGCCTTGCCAAAGACAATTCTATAGGGAGACATTCCCAAAGGGGTCTTGTAGGCAGTGCGGTAAGCCCATAGTGCATCTTCAAGTCTCTTGCTCCAATCCTTCCTGTTTGTCTGAACTGTTTTCTCCAGAATATGTTTCAGCTCCCTATTTGATACCTCTGCCTGTCCATTAGTTTGCGGATGGTATAGAGGTGAAACCTTGTGAGTGACATCATATTTCTTTAGTAGGGATGCCATGTTCCTGTTACAGAAATGGCTTCCTTGATCACTGATGATTGCCCGAGGTACTCCGAACCTGCAAAGAATGTGTGATTTGACAAAATCTACAACAACATGAGAGTCAACAGTTCGGGTGGCCTTGGCCTCCACCCACTTGGAGATAATAATCAACAGCCAACAAAATATAAACAAAACCAAATGAGACAGGAAATGGACCCATAAAATCAATACCCTAAACATCAAATATCTCACAAAACAATAATGGTTGTTGAGGCATCTCATTTCTACGGGAGATAGTACTCGTCTTCTGACATTGTTCACAATTCTTACAATAGGTGTAAGAATCTCGAAACAATGTGGGCCAGTAAAAACCTGCATCTAAGACCTTCTTAGCAGAGCGTTGTGGCCCAAAGTGACCACCACAAGCAAGTGTATGACAAAAATGCAAAATGGAAGAAATCTCAAGCTCATGCACACAGCGCCTAATATTCTGATCACTACACATGCGCCACAAATAAGGATCATCCCAGACATAATATTTAGCCTCACTCCTAAGTTTCTCTATCTGATGCTTTTTAAAATAAGCAGGCAATTCAGAGGCAACTAGATAGTTAACCAAGTCAGCATACCACGGGTCTTTACCTCGCAGCTCTAAAAGCTACTCATCTGGAAAGTTCTCATGGATAGGTAGAGGCTTCAAAGTCTGTGGAATTCGACTCAAATGGTCCGCCACCAGGTTCTCAGCTCCACTCTTATTCTTGATCTCTATGTCAAACTCCTGCAACAGCAACATCCACCTGATGAGTCTGGGCTTAGCATCTGGCTTCTTCAATAGGAATTTCAGTGCTGCATGATCAGAGTAAATAGTAACTTTAGTTCCTAACAGATAAGCACGAAATTTATCTAAAGCAAGAATGATAGCCAGAAGCTCTTTTTCTGTAGTGGTGTAGTTAGCCTGTGCAGAATCCAGAGTCCGGGAAGCATATGCTATGACATAAGGGGTCTTTCCAATTCTCTAGGAAAGTACAGCTCCAACTGCAAGGTTTGATGCATCACACATGAGCTCAAACGGATACTCCCAGTTCGGTGACTGTAGGACAAGAGCAGAAATTAAGTGCTGCTTCAATTGATCAAAAGCTCTTCTGCACTCATCATCAAACTGGAAATCTATATCCTTCTGCAGAAGCTTGGAAAGTGGAAGGGTGATTTTACTAAAACCCTGGATAAATCGCCTGTAGAAACCTGCATGACCAAGAAAAGAACGCACTTCCCGTACACATGTAGGGTAAGGTAAAGAAGCAATAACATCAATCTTGGAACTATCAACAGCTATACCCTCACCAGAAATAACATGTCCTAAGACTATACCTTGCCTAACCATAAAATGACACTTTTCATAATTCAAAACAAGGTAAGACTCAACACATCTCTTCAATACCCTAGCAAGGCTATCCAAGCATGCATCAAATGAAGTACCATAAACAGTAAAATCATCTATGAAGACTTCCATGCAATTCTCTAGAAAATTAGAAAAAATGCTCACCATGCATCTCTGAAATGTACCTGGGGCATTGTATAGACCGAAAGGCATCCTCCGGTATGCAAATGTACCGAATGGATAGGTGAAGGTTGTCTTCTATTGATCCTCAGGTGCAATGTGAATCTGAAAATAACCAGAGAATCCATCAAGATAACAGTAATGTGACTGACCTGCCAATCTTTCCAGCATCTAATCAATGAAGGGTAATGGGAAGTGGTCCTTCCTGGTGGCCTGGTTCAGCTTCCTGTAATCAATGCAGACCTTCCAGCTATTCTGCACTCTTGTGGGAACTAACTCATCCTTCGAGTTCTTTACTACTGTTATTCCGGTCTTTTTGGAACCACTTGCACTGGGCTCACCCACTTACTGTCTGAAATTGGGTAAATGATGCCAGCAGCTAGAAGCTTGCTGACTTCTTTCTTAACCACATCTAGAATCAGAGGGTTCAATCTCCTCTGAGGCTGCCTCACTGGTTTTACTCCCTCCTCTAACTGAATTCTGTGCATGCATGTGGAGGGGCTAATCCCAGGTATGTCAGCCAATGTCCAACCTAAAGCATTTATGTTCTGCCTCAGAATGTTTAACAACTTCTCTTCTTGTTCTGGTTGCAAATCCTAGGCTATGATGACTGGTAGCTTCTCATTTGGTGCCAAGAATGCATACATCAAATTTTCTGGTAAAGGTTTCAGCTCCAAGGTGGGTGGCTCTTGTATGAAGGGTGCTAATCTTGGAATCTGCTCTGTTTTTCTAATCTCAGTACCTGCAACGTGTGAAAAATCTTGCACAAGAGCATTATCATATCCCACAACAGAAAGATTAGCATAAGAGTTATTTCCACACCCCACAGAATAATCATAATGTGCACAATCAGTATTTTCCACTACTGCAAAACTAGAATCAGAATCTGTTCTAATAACATCATAACTTGAACTTCCAGGATCAGCATGTAAATTCTGTACAGACTCTGAACCATATATGCATGCGTTAAATTTGGCACAAACAGCACATAAATCATGAATTCCATCACAATCTGAACATTGAAAGTCATCTCTAATGCCTACAATTTTAGGAAACTCAGCACACAAATTCTCATGCATATCATCAACCAATGTATCAATGATGTCTAAATGAAACACAGAATGCTCTTCTGGTGGATATCTCATGGCATCATGCAGTTTAAAATGCACCTTGTTATCTCCAAATTCCATGGATAAAGTACCAGAGTGTACATCAATCTTAGTTTTAGCAGTTTTCAAAAATGGCCTACCTAAGATCAATGTTGGTTGATTAACATCATCCTCCATGTTTAACACATAAAAATCAGCAGGAAAAATAAGATCATTTACTCTTACCAACACGTCTTTTAAAACTCCCTCAGGGTGTGCTGTGCTTCGGTTGGCAAGTTTGATCACCACTCCCGTTGGCTTGAGCTTTCCAATGTGCAAAGATTGGTAGACTGATTTGGGCATCACATTGATTGAAGCTCCAAGGTCCAACATGGCTTGGCTGAATTACTCGCTTCCTATGATGCATGGAATGGTGAAAGTCTCAGGATCCTTGCATTTTGGAGGAATGCTTGGCTGAATGATGGCAGAAACATTTCTGCCCATGCTCACTTTTTCATTTCCCTTTAGCCGTCTTCTATGAGTGCACAAGTCCTTAAGAAACTTGACATACTTTGGAATCTGTTTGATAGCTTCTAGGAGTGGAATATTGACTTCAACTTTCCTAAAAGTTTCCATGATCTCCTTGTCCATTTCTGCCTCTGTTATCTTCTTGTTTTGAGTCACTCTATTTGGAAAAGGCAGCGGAATGTTTGGTTCAGAATGACTACTGTCTCTCTTGCTTGATGGCTCTGGTTGCTCTTTAGTTGCATCTATCTCTGCAGAAGTTGATTTTTCTGCTGCAACATTTGGAACTTCAAGCTGCTTGCCACTTCTCAAAGTGATGGCGCTCATATTCCTTGGATTACTCACGGATTGGGAGGGAAGGTTGCCAGAACCTTGGGATTTCAGCTCATTTACTGTTGTAGCCAACTGACCAATCTGTGTTTACAAATTCTGGATGTTGGCTTCTGTTCTCTGCTGAAACTGGACACTACTGATTGCCATCTGCTTCACCAAATCTGCTAGACTCAGTTCTGAGCTACTGCTTTATTGTTGGTCTGGTTTAGCTTGCTGTGAATATTGCTGCCTCATGTTTGGTTTTACAGCATGGTGCCTGAACTGATATTGAGGTTGCTGCTGCTGCTGGAACTGATTAGAATTACCATACCTCAGATTCAGGTGATCTTTCCATCCGGGATTATATGTATTGGAAAAGGGGTCATAATTCCTTTGCTGCTGCTGTTGGAAAGGTTTTCCAGGAAAAATTCCAGCAACTGTTTCATTTGTTTCTTGCATCTATGGACATTGATCTGTTACGTGACCTGGTACACAGCAAATTCCACAAATGCTTGCTGGAATGGACTGCTGAGGTTGCTGTGTCTAACCGAGTGCCAAATGCCTCACCAAAGTTGTCAACTCTTCTATTCTGTTCCCATACTTTGTTGGTTTGTATCAGAGGTCTTCACTTCATTCACTCCTCTTGTAGACACCATGGCTCGAGTACCAAATTGTTGTGCATTGGCAGCCATGTTTGTAATCAATTCATGAGCTGCAGTGGGAGTTTTGTCTACTAGAGCCCTTCCAGAAGCAGCATCAACCATACTTTTGTCCATTAGCATGAGACCTTCGTAAAAATATTGAATGAGGAGCTGGTCGCTGATTTGATGGTGTGGACAACTTGCACACAATTTCTTGAACCTCTCCCAATACTCATGTAGAGTCTCTCCAGTAATCTGCCTTATGCCACAAATTTCTTTCCTAATAGAAGCAGCTCTTGAGGCAAGGAAGAACTTCTCTAAGAACATCCTCTTTATGTCCTGCCAGCTTGTGATCGAACCGGGATGCAAGTAGTACAACCAATCCTTGGCAGATCTATCCAAAGAAAAAGGAAATGCCCTCAGCTTGATGTGGTCCTCCTCCACTCCATGCGGTTTCATGGTTGAGCACACCACATGGAATTCCTTCAAGTGCTTGTGAGGGTCTTCACCAGCTAAGCCATGAAACTTGGGCAGCAGGTGTATCAGCCCTGACTTGAGCTCAAAGTCTGCATCCAAATTCGGATACTGAATTTCCAAAGTGTGATAGTTAACATCAGGTGCTGCAAGTTCCTTCAAAGTTCTATTAGCCATATTAATAATATCCTCAGAATCAGAATGCACAAAAACAGAATGATTAACACTACTAATAGAACCTACACTATTATCAACTTGAATATTAGTAAAGGTAAGCCTTTTATGTGTTCTAATTAAATGATGAAATGTCCTATCAATTTCAGGATTAAAAGAATGCAATTCACCAGGCTTAGCTCGTGTCATGCAACATCAGACACATAAGAATGATGGACACACAATATGCCGACAGAATGCTAATAGGGAAATAAAACCAACGAAATAATTTTTTAAAAATATAGGACCACCACAGAAGTACTAGAAATAAAATTTCCTATTTTTGAAATTTTTTTACTATTTTTAAAAATCCTAGAATACTAAAAAAATTGAAAAAGCGATCTAAACGATGGAATTTTGGAATTTCAGGGGTGCACCACTCAATTTAGTCCCTAAATTTTTCTATAATGTCTGACCAAGTTTCAGCACAATCCGAGTTAGTCGCTAGAAAAATTACCTTTTTACCCTTTTGTAGAAAAACACCTACCAGATGAAGAAATTTACAGGAGCTCCTTTAGACAAAGTTGATCAGCTTGATGAATTCTATTTGGACACCAAAATTCAGCCTCAAACTCCAAAGTCGAACTGGTAGTGAAATTTTCGCCTACAAGACTCACAATAAATACCTCAACGCAAAAACGCTCAACACAGAACGCAAAACACACTAAGAAAGATTAACACACAAAACAAACGCCAGTGATTCCCCGGCAATGGCGCCAATTTGACACGAGGTCGTACACGGGTCAAAATAAACCTAATTACTATAGTACGGGGTAAGCAACTAGGGTCGTTTCTCAAAGAATCACAATGAAAAATTAATCTATTTAGAGAGTGTATAAGATGGGTGGGGTTTGTTTATAAAGGAAACAAAAACACACTTAATTATAATTAGAATGAAGAGTGAACAGAAATTGAAATTCCAATCCAAGAATTAAGAAGAAAAATGACTACTCTACCACCAGATTTTTAAGAGAGTACATCAACAAACAATTCGGTAATTAACAATGAATATGAATGAAACCTCAATTCGAACTCAGCATTCACATGAAGACCTGCATGCATTCGATTAGCACATAATTAATTAAAATTTAGAAAACTCTAGAACCTAATTGAATTGTGCCAATTTAATTTACCAATGCCGTTAATCGTAGTTTTCAAACCTGAAAATCCAATTCATGTTCCTTAAAACTCAATTACATACATCAATCAAATAATACGTAATCAACCACATGCATAATCATCAATTCAAACGAATAACTTCAATTCGTAAATATAATTAGCAAAAGGGAGAGAATAAGGAATAGATGAAACCCGAAATTGTTATTGAATTTATGCCAATGTGCGATCAATCGATACTCAATAGTGTCACGTCTCCTTTAATCCTTGAATCAGATGGGAATCTAAGCCTCCATGGATGGAGGGAAAAAATTCATGAAAGGGAAAAAAACGAAAACAGAGAGAAGAGAGAGGAAGAAGAAAGGAGAGGAGAAAAAAAAAAAACTTAAAATTCAAAATTTCCATTCGTCACTTTGTTCCTTTTTTTCGGCTATGAAAACGGCTCTTTTTGGTTCGTGGCCTGAAGGAAAATTGTAGCCTTGGATGTTAGCTTCAAAACGCCACTGGAATGGGCTTAATCGGACATCTGTGGACTGAGATATGGCCCAAATACTGCACCTTGCTCAGGATCCGTGACTGCAGC